GTGTTCCGCTTCCATCCTGGCATCTCGTGCCCTTGTCTTGCAGGCTCCTGAGGGTTTCGGGGGCCAGGTACTGTCCCAGCCCGCCTGCATGCGGAATCAAATCTCTGTGCCCCCACGGCGTGGCCTTCAGCTTCTGCGCTGGCCCGACCTGGGCAAAACATGTCGTGTTTGTCGTTCGTGGCTGAGGCTCCATGCAGCCAGATTTCGCTCGCCTCCCTTCGATCACGTTCTCTTCCATAGCGGTTCAGGCACAGCGATTTCGGCATCGTCCATAGCCTTTCGATCGCGTTTTTGTCCGAGGCGTACCAGGTACAGTCGACGGTCACAGCGTACTCCCCAGCCGTGTTCCCAGAGAGCCCTACGGATAGCAATGTTCGCATAGAGAGGTGCGCCGCTTGTTCCGGCTCATCACGCCTGTTACGGCGCGATACGCTAACCATGTTTGTCCCTGTCTCCGAGCGTCAACGATCATCGTCCCGAGCGTTTCTCAGCCTCCCTCCCCTCGTAGTAGAGCGACTCGCTGTCAGTTCGCAGGGCATGGCATGTCGCATTGAACGCCGTCGCGACACGCTAAGCGAGAGTTCATGACCGTGTGTTGTTGGTTTCTCGGAGCATTTTCGCGGGGAGATCTTGATATGGAGAGCTTCATGTAGAAGCCCCCACATGTTTGTGGAGAGCCCCATTCCCAGACCTCCTCGCGTTGCGAACACATTCGACAAACGGTGTCGGGTCAGGTTCAGCCTCCGAGGACCCTCACTGGGCCCTGGGACCATCAGGTAGCTACTCGGTACGAGGAATCGGTCCCAGAGAAGGGTTCCAGACCTGTTGGGGTCCATGTTGCGAACATAACCACGACGCCGGAGGTCTCGTTATGGAGAGCTCCTATGAACATGATTCGGAACTGAGCGACTCCTAGCGGCGGGGGCACCGCAGAGGGGCCACGAAGGGGCCTCAAGGGCAATTCTGAAGCCCTCTGTGGATTCACTCGGAGACCTACTTGGGTTCTGCGGCAATCGTAGGGGGGAGGAGAGGGGGGATTCCCAGACCATGTTCCTGGGACCACTCACGGTCTCCCTTCTGTGCCCATTTTCGTGCAGCAGCAGTGGCCGTATGGTGCACGCGCGAACTATAAGACAGTCTGCGTGGACGTGGGTCATGTTGGGATGTTTGCTCGGGTAGGCCGACGATGTCTGAGGGCGAGGGCGCACACATAGTATGATTCGGCCGTTGGCCGCGACGATTCTGGTAAATATCCAGTTGCGCTGCCGCGCATATCCGCCACCGCGCTTGCGAGAGGGGCCTAGCGAGACAGAATGGCGCGGCGCACCGACTGCACCACACATTAAGTCACCCACACTGCACCACACATGTTGCACCGCCTAGATTGCGAGCAGTTCGGAACGCGCCGGTGCAGGTTTACCAGGAAAGTGCGTCACAATGAAAAGCAGCCTGTCTCGGTTAAGGTGGGCACGGAACGGACATGCTGCGTGCGCGTGAGCGTTGCGTGAGTCGATGCCCTCACAGGACCTCTCGAGGGCATCATTGGAGCCTTTTGCGCGGTTCTCGGAGGTTTCTCGGGGGCGTCGCGGGGCCTCGTGGTGCCTCTTGGGGATCTTTTGCGGCTTCCTGGGGCTTCTTGAGAGGCCTCTTTGAGCTTCATGTGGTTTTCTTTCGAGTTGCGTGGGGGCCTCTTGGAGCTTTGGGGAGCCTCTGTGGGGCCTCTCGGGGGGCCTCTTGGGGGCGTGGCGGGACTTTCTGTACCGTCTTGAAACTGTTAAGGGACCTTTTGGGTCGTCGGAGACGTTGCGAAGACGAACGAGGCAAGAACATGAGCGTTGTGCAAGAGAAACAGCATGCGTCTGCCTGTCGCTGCCTCTTCGCAGGCGGCCTGGGAGACGTTTTGTTCCCATGTTGGGCGCCCACGGAGCCCCAATTCCGTCCCATGTTCGGGCCAAGCGTGGGGCCGGGGCAGAGAGCACCTTGTCCGCCTGGCGGGCAAAACGTACCGCTGTGGGAAGCGGAGGGAGGGAGGGGACCGCCGTCGCCGTCGCCGCGGCTCGGGGCGAGTGGCGGCTTTTGCGGGCGGTGCCGCCCGTCGCCGCCGTTGCCTTCGCATAGATTCTCCTTCCTTACAAGAGAATATATAAACTCTACCCCCCCGCGCGATTCCCCCACCCTTTTCGAATTGCAACTTACTTGTGATTCTGCCCCATCGTCCATCCTAAGGATGAATTCGTACCATCCCAGCCGAGCGGGTATCGACTCGCCCCCGCCATCCCCAGCCTTGCGCGCACTCGTTTATAACGAATCACCAGCACCAAGAATCCCATGAACAAGAAAAACGTGACAAAGTGCGCAAGCACGCGTCGTCGCGCGCTCATGCCGACATCCGTCAAAACCGGCGGTTTCGTGACGGATTCAAAATCGAGCGTTTAAGAACCATGTCAAGCCACTTAGTTTCGCAACATCAGTTTTGTTTATTAAGCATGCGCTCGCGCTCACGAGCGTGAGAACGCGAGGGCGCCGCTATCGTCGTCGGCGTGGCGCGATCAGCATCGGCGCCGCCACTGGCTGCGCCGACGTCGCTGTCAACATCGTCACCAACATCGCTATTAGCATCATCGCGTCTACCGTTGTCGACGTTGCCATGGTACCGTGCCCGCTGGTGCGTGCCCAGCGGTCAGCGCAACCGAGGCCGCGCAGGTCGCGGCAAACTAGTTGGCCGGTGCGCGCGCGCGCATCCGCGGGCCTGCGCGGCCGCAGAGATGCACCAGCCAGCGCCCAGCACTCGACGCAATCGCCGCCGCATGGGTTTTGCAAACCAAATTGCGGGTGGGTGGGTGAGATGTTTGCCAGAGCATGGGATGTGCCAGCTCGTCTGATAGAATCAAGTGCCCCACACAAATTCTTCATTGGCAAAAAAAAATCTACCGCCCCCCCCCCCCCCGGATTCATTATTTTTTTCGTATTGCAATTTGCGTGCGATTCTGCCCCATCGCCCATCCTAGCTATGAATTCATACCATGCCAGGCAGGCTGGCATCGATCCCCCCCTTCATCCGCTGCGAAAAACCTTACGCCCGCGCATTCGCTTATCAACAATCACAAGTTGTCAAGAACTCCGTGCAACAATTGAAGCGAAGTGCACACGCGCGCGCCGTCGCGCGCGCATGCCGAAATCGTTCAAGGTTTCGCGGGAATTTTAGTTCCGAGCGTCCAAGAATCACATCGAAACAAGCAACCACTTTCCCAACACGGGTTTTAAAATCACGCTCGCGCTCGAGTTCTTGTCCTCAGGAAAACCATTATTGCCAGTGCTCGCGAAGTCTTAAGTAAGTTCGCGCGTGAGTGTTTTATGTACACAAAACGTTTTCAAACGGGATTCGCGCGCGCGTGTCGAAATCTTTCGACAGCCCTCGCGCGCGCGCTGTCGCAATAATCTTTCTCAACATCTGAAGCGAAGCGCGCGCGCGTTGCGCCCGCGCGCCGAAAAAGGCGTCACCAATTTCAGATTTCGTAAGGATGTCAGAACCGAAAGTCGCGAAACCATGCAGCAACGCATGGTTTCAGAACATCAGTGCTCGAAAAAGCCAGCGCTCGCGCTCTTGCGAATCCTCGAGAAAACGACCAGGTTCTCAACATGTTCATGCAATTATGCCACGCAGGCCTCTCGCGCCGCGCGCCGCATGTCGAAGTCATTCGAACGCCCTTGCGCGCGCGTTGTGTGTGTGTGGGGGGCCACGATCAGCGTCAAATTGTGCAATGCTGGCCACTCTCGCGCGCCGGCCTCGCGCGCATGTCGGACTCCTTCCAAAACTTGCACTGCCGACGCGAGAACGCCATCATCGTCATCGGCATGATCAGCGTCGGCGCCGTCACTGGCCATGCTGTCGCCGTTGTCAACATCGAAACCACCATCGCTACTATCATCATCGTGTCTAACGATGTCGACGTTGCCATGATGCCGCGTTTGCGCCGGCTGCCCCAAACTATCTGGCCGCTCCGCGCGCGAGCAGGCGCTGGCCGGCGCGGCCGCGGGGATGCGCCAGCCAATGCCAAGCTTTCATCGCAATCGCCGCCGCATGGGCCTTGGAAGCCCAAGGGCGAACATTTCGCGAAGAGTGGCGCTGGCAATTTCAAGCAAGCCAAGGTGAATTATTGTTGTTGCAGAAAGTATATTCAAAACTAATAGAGATCCCCTCCCCCTCGGGTTTATCGTTGCAACTTTTTGCGATGCCATTTGCATGTGGTTCCGCCCCATCGCCCACCCCAAGAATGAATTCTTGCCGGCCCAGCACAGCCGGGATCGACCCCCGACGTTCCTGTGCAAGACGCAAATTACGCGCGCGCAATCGTTCATCGCCAATAATTATACCGGGGGGCGGCCACATAACACGCAACATTCCGGGGGCCCCAAACGGTGCGGTGACCGAGCCGTGCGGTGAGTCGGCGGGGATTCGGAGTCATTGCACGGTTTCGGGACTCGGGTCGTTTTCCGAGGACGTCTCGGGCGACCGGGGCCTCAGAGGTCCCAAGACCGTGTGGTAACTGACCGCGTGGTGAGGTCTTTAGGGATTTCGAGGTCACCGCACGGTCTGTCACCGCACCGTTTCGGGACTCCCAAAACATCGCTCGGGGGAGGTTGCACCCATGACCCTCCAGACCCTTGGCCGCGAGATATCAGACAGCGCGCGCGTCCTCTCTGAGGAAAGACCGCGGGGACAACGCGGAGGGGGGCGAACCGGCGCCTCTTTTGCGAGGATTCTGCGAGCGGCGGCGCCGCGGTTGCGAGGGTGGCCCGAGCGGCGGGTCCGCGGCTGCGATGATGTTTCGAGCGGCGGCGCCATCCCGCCCCCCCTTCCCTGCCCCCTCTCGGGCGCGCGCTATCTGTCTGGCGCAGGGTCTGAGGGAGACAGCGATGCGATAGGGTCCGAGTAAGTTGCGGCGGAGCCCCCGCGTTTGCGAGGATATGTCCCGAGCGGCGGCCCAGCGGCTGCGAGGATGCCCCGAGCGGCGGCGCCCGGCCTGTGGGGGCGTCTCGGCAAGCGGCGCCGCGGATGCAAAACCACCCCGGGCGGCGGCGCCGCGGTTGCGAGGATGCCCCGAGCGGCGGCGCCGCGGTCGTGAGGGCGTCTCGGGCGGTGGCGCCACGGATGCAAGGATGTCTCGGGCGGGGGCGCCCCGGTTGCGAGGGCGCCCCGAGCGGCGGCGGCGCGGTTGCAAGGGTGGCCCGAGCGACGGCGCCGCGGTTGCGAGGATGTCACGAGGGGCGGCGCCATCCCGCCCCCCCGGCCTGACTCCTCTTTGGGCGCGTGCTATTTGTCTGGCCCGGAGTCTTAGCGGGGCAATGATGTGATTGAGTCCGAGTGAGTTGCGGCGGCGCTCCGCGGTTGCGAGGGCGTCTCCAGCGGCGGCTCCGAGGCTGCGAGGACGCCCTTAGCGGCGGCGCTTCCCCGCGCCCCCGCACCTGCCCCCCCCTTGGGCGTGCGCTATCTGTTTGGCGCAGGGTCCGAGGGGGGCAGCGATGTGATTGAGTCCGAGTGATGTGCGGCGGCGGCCCTGCGGTGCGAGGATGTCTCGAGCGGCGGCTCCGCTGCTGCGAGGATGCCCCGAGCCGCGGCGCTTCGGTTGCGAGGGCGTCTCGAGCGGCGGCGCCGAGGATGTGGGGATGTCTCGAGCAGCGGCTCCGCGGCCGCGAGTATGTCCCGAGCGGCGGTTTCGCGTTCGCGAGGGCGTCTCTAGCGGCGGCGCTGCGGTTGTGAGGATGTCTCGAGCGGCGGCGCCGCGGTTACGAGATTGCCTCGAGCGGCGGCGCCGCGGCTGCGATGATGTTTCGAGCGGCGGCGCCATCCCGCCCCCCCACCCCTGCCCCCTCCTGGGCGCGCGCTATCTGTTTGGCGCAGGGCCTGGGGGAGGCAATGATGCGATTGTGTCCAAGTGAGTTGCGGCGGCGGCCCCGCGGTTGCCAAGGCGCATCGAGCCGAGCGGCGGCGCCGCGGTCGTGAGAATGTCTCTAGCGGCGGCGCCGAGGACCGAGGATGCGAGGATGCCCCGAGCGGCGGCGCCACAGTTGCGAGGATGCCCCGAGCGGCGGCGCTGCGGTTGTGAGGATGTCTCGAGCGGCGGCGCCGCGGATGTAAGGATGGCTCGAGCGGCGGCGCCGCGGTTGCGAGGGTGTCCCGAGCGGCGTCCCCGCGGTTGCGAGGATGCCGCGAGTGGCGTTTCCGCCGTTCCGACGATGTTTCGAGCGGCGGCGCCATCCCGCACCCCCGCCCCGCCCCCTTCTGGGCGCGCGCTATCTGTCTGGCGCAATCCGAGGGAGACAGTGATGCGATAGAGTCCCAGTGAGTTGCGGCGGCGGCCCCGCGGCTGCGAGGATGTCTCGAGCGGCGGCCCAGCGGCTGCGAGCACGCCCCGAGCGGCGGCGCGGCGGTCGTGAGACTGTCTCTAGCGGCGGCGCCGAGGATGCGAGGATGTCTCGAGCGGCGGTGCCGCGCTTGCGAGGATGCCCCGAGCGGCGGCGCCGCAGTGGCGAGGACATCACGGGCGGCGACCCCGCGGCTGCGATGATGTTTCGAGCGGCGGCGCCATCCCGGACCCCCGCCCTACCTCCTCTTAGGGAGGAAGCGATGCGATTAAGTCTTAGTGAGTTTGCGAGGATGTCTTGCGCGACGGCTCCGCGGCTGCGAGGATGTCCTGAGCGGCGGCGCTGCGGTTGTGAGGGCGCCTCGAGCGGCGGCGCCGCGGATGCGAGGATGTCTCGAGCGGCCGCGCCGCGTTTGCGAGGGTGCCCCGAGCGGCGGCGCCGCGGTTGCGAGGGTGTCCCGAGCGGCGGCTCCGCGGCTGCGATGATGCTAATTGGACGACGTGCGCACGCGCGCGTCGTCGCGCGTGCGTGCCGAAATTCTTCAAAAACTCGGTTTGGGGAGGATTGCAAGATCCACGGCCCAAAGAACGTTTGAGACACATGTTTTCGCAGCGCCCGACTCTCAAAAGAGCGTGCGCGCGCTCTTGCGAATTCTTAAGACAACCATAGGTCTCTTCACACTATCTGAACGTACTACTAAACAGGCTTCGCAAGCGCATGCCGAAATCGTTCGAACGCCCTTGCGCGCGTGCCGTCGCGAGAATTCTCTTACAAAAACTGTGTCGAAGTGCGCGCGCGAGTCGTCCCGCGCGCATGCCGCAATCCATCAAAAACCGTTGGTTTCGTAACGATTTCAATACAGAGTTTGCAAACACACACACACACAAAAAAAACATGGTCTCGCAACATCAGTTATCAGAAATACAAAAGAAATAACGTGCGCGCACGATCTTTCGAAATCTTACGGAAACCATTGGTTATTCAATATGTGCATGGCGTTCTGCCAAACGGCCTCTGGCGTCTGGCGCCGCATGCGGACATCAATCGCATTTCCTTGCGCGCGTGCTGAGTGGGACACGATCCGTGTCAGTTAAAACCATGCGGGCCACTCGCGCGTCGGCCGTGCGCGCATGTCAACTTCTCTCCAAAACCTTCAACACCGACGCGAGGACGCCGTCATCGTCCCCGGCGCGATCAGCATCGGCGCCCTCATGGCCGCGGCTTCGTCGGTGCGAACATCGTCGCCAGCATCGCCATTATCGTCATCGCGCCCGCCCCAGTCGCCGACTCGCAGCGAAGTGCCTGGTGGGATGCGCCCACCGGTCAGCGCCACCGCGGCCGCGTCGGTGGCGCCAAACTAGCTGGCCGCTGCGCGCGCGTGCCAGGGTTGGCGCGGCCGCAGGCGTGCACTAGCCAGAGTCAACCTGCAACGCAATCGGCGTTGTCGTCGTCGTCGTCCTCGTCGTCGGCGTCTTCGGCGCCGTCGTCGTCGTCGGGGTCGTCATCGCCGCCGTCGTCGTCGGCGTCGGCGTCGTCGTCGTCGTCGTCGTCGGCGTCATCGCCGTGGTCGTCGTCGATGTCGTCGTCGAAATCGTCGGAAACGTCGTCGGTGTCGTCATAGTCGTCGTCGGCGTAGTCGTCGTGATCGTTGTCGCTGTCGTCGTCGGCGTCGGCGTCGTGTCCAAGTGCCATTTGGTACCCACCGTGACGGTCTGAGGAAGGCTTTCGACCATGTTGCGGGTGGGAGGGTGGGATGTTTGCACGAGCAGTGGAGAGGACAGTTCCAAGACAGTCAAAGTAAATTGCACAACATAGATTGCGCACCACGTAGATCGCAAAACATCGATTGCACAGCAGTGAGTTCGGAACATAGGTTATCCACATGTTTCGCACCACATTTTGCACAGCATCGAGTGACTACCAGTTAGTGCAAAAACAAGACTGCCCCAAACGTATGAACATAAATGGTGTTTAACCACATCGTTTTCTTTACATGTGATGCACATCTGGCAATATACCTCGTAGTTTGCACCATCTGTATTGCACAACGTGGATTGCTCAACCTGGAGCACCCAATATTGTTCCACATGTGTTGCACCACGTATCGTCCCACATAAGATGTATTACATTGCTTGCACCATGCAACCACACAGATATGCATATTGACCACACAGGTTCCTCAACCTACATTGCACAGCCCATGTTGCACAACACGTGCTGCTATGTATTGATGTGTTATCATAGGTTGCGCCAAACTCGTCGCAACACATCGAGTGCCCAACACTGCTTACACACCATATGTTTCACAGCATCGACAGCGCCATCTATAATGCACCACGCATATGGTCACACGTATACTTGCACAACGCGTATTGCACCTCATTGGTCGTACCATTCCCATTTTACAACATGTGGTGCACAACATAGATTGCACAACATAGGTTGCACGACCCAGATTGCACATTTGTATATACACACACCACTTAAACTAGGTTTGCGCGTATAGAACGGACACGCGTCTGTACGGGCGTATAAGGAATGTAGTTGGCACGATTCAGCAGTGTCTTCTCCTACTAGCAGTAGGATTGGTATCTTCACGCCTTCGCCCCAAGCGCGATTGAGACGTTCAGAACGCTACAACTGTGACGGCTGAGTGCCGTAACGTGCCCGCGCATCATGTCGTGCGCGTGCCCGCATGCCGTTCTTTTCGCGTGTTGGGCCGTACCTGCATGATGTGCCGTGCGCGTGCCGTGCTTGGCCCCAGAACGCGACGCATGGTCAGTGTCGTGCAGTGCTCGTGCCTTGTCGTGATTGCGTTTCATGCAATGCCCGTGCCGTGCTTAGTTCTCAGACACCATGTGCCTTCTCGAGGAACGTTGCGTGCACAATGCAAGTCCTATTGTCCACTTAGTATGGTTACGTGCGCGCGCTGTGCTTGCCACGTTGGTCATGGCACATCGCTCTGGTGTCGTTGGTCGACTAAATTGGCGGTTGCGCGTGCTCTTCCACGCCAGTCCTATGAGCACATCGTCCTTCACAATTTTCGAATATGCGAGGTGCAGCACCCATTGTGCCCCATCTCAAAGCGGACTTGCTTCTGCATTGGTGTAGATCCGTTCACATTCAGAATGTGTTTGCCAGAGTTGGCATGTGTGGATCCAGCGACCTACACAGCGTTCACACATGCCAGTCAACCCGCAAATCATGTGCGCGTGATGGTTGTTCATGCGGGTGGACGAGCAGCGCATGTGTCTCCAAGAACTGTTTTGGATTTGTTTGGTGGGAGTGACTTTCGAATATTTTCGCAGATTCCTGAGCAAGCGCTGCGGCTTGTCGAAGGTGCCGCCAAAGTCAACATGTACATCATATACCGGTTATTGTGCGCATACGTGTTTATAGAGTTTTGGCACACCGTGCACACCGTTATCACGTTCGACGCAGTGTATCTTTAGTAATTTGTTGTCGTTCGTCGACACGGGTTGTGTCCCCACAGTCCTCAGCAGGTGAATTCAACCATTTGGCGTCACGATGCTGGTGTGCCCGTAGCGTTTGAATGCGCAATTTATTTGTTCGCTCACCAGTTTTTCACTGGTCACATTTGACCTGGGCGAATCTGGCCATCCAGTTTACGGAGCAACGTGCCGTCGACCTTGACCAGAATTTTGACGTGAAGATTCGCCAGTTAGCTCTTTAATGCAATGGCTTTTGCCACACTGTTCAGAATCTTTACAGGCCGAGTGCATGGAGTCACGGTCAACCGGTGGTTGGTAGCGGCCACGGGAGAAAAAGTGTTTGGACGAGCTATCGTTGCCACAATGAGCCTTTTACAGTCAGGTTGGTGGCTTCTGATCCCGCCAGCGGGTCGTTGCTTCGGACGGCCGCAGTCATTCGTCGGCATCGCGCATCCCTTTAACGAAAGACAGGCAGCGTTTTCGAATATACTACTTGTGGCAGGTTCAGAATACATGCATGCATGCATGCACAGACAGACATACATACATTCACGTATATGTACAGACATGTTTAACCGGCGTCCGGGTCCCTCGCCCAAGGGTCGTACATGTTTCCAAGAAGGCCCCCCACCACCCAGTATTCCACCTTTGCCCCACGGGGTCCGGGGGCAGGGCCCGCGCCAGGGTGGCCCAGGCCGCCCAGACTGTGGAAGACGTCGTGGAGGGGACTCCGAAGGCTGCTGTCTTTTTCCAGAGCGTTCCGAACGCTCTCAGAGCGTTCTGGAACGCTCTCAGAAGGCCGCGGCGCCCGAGACATCTTCCATCTTCAGATCTCTGAGAATTTGGATATTTCCTCACCCGTTTGTATCCCTGTCCTAGCTTCGGTTTCTTCTTCTTCTTCTTCTCCTTCTTTTTCTTTGCTCTCCCCACGTTCTGCATCCTCCTCGGCCCGGAAATCTCGGTCCTCGGCGTCAGCGCCTCCAGTCTGCATAGGATCCCACCTAGAGGTTTCAAAGCCTCCCGTGTGCCAACCCGCGTTCAGCCGCGGCGGCGAGGGGGTGTTTGCGATACCCCAGGGGCGGAAAAGCAGGGGGAGACCTGCTGGGAGCGGCCTTTTCCACAGTGACGGCACGGAGGGCGTCATCGTTGCCGTCATTGCAGTCGGTCGGAGGAGATGAGAATGAGGACCCAGAAGCCCTCGAGGCGTGAACAAAAACGCGACGGAGGGATTTTTGTTATTTTCGGCCTCTGGGCGCCCTCACCGGGCCCCAGGACCTAGGACTGTCAGAAACAACTCGGGACGAGAAACCGGTCCCGGGGAGTGGGTCCCGACTTCTGGGTCTCGAGCATGTGGTCATGAGAATTATGCGCTCCAAGATTTTCCCGATTTTCTCGATTTCGTGGGTTTCTACATGGGGCCGCAGGAACGACGGCCTCTGAATACTTTTGGAAATCCTGAGACGCATCCTAAGCCAATCCTATCATGACATTCTTCCCACGCGCAAATAAATAGTCCTAGTCGACGCCGCCGTTGTGGCCGTCGCCGTTGTCGTTGCACCCGTCCTCTCGGCGGCACATTTCGAACCCCACCCTCAGCGCTTATCAACGATTCGCGCAACTCGATGGGCGGCGGTGAAGGGCTTGGAATTCGTCGAGCACGTGGCGAACGAAATCCGAACCCTACCCCCGCCTCCCATCGATTCAGGAGAATGGATACTTGGTGAGAACAGGGCTCGGATGTCGCCACCTGTTGAAGCTCAGTCCTGCCCACATCCTCGGCGTCGTCGGCATCGTCGTCGCCCTCGTCATCGTTGTCGTCGTTCGTCTTCGTCGTCGTCGCCCCGAGCCGAGGACCCGCTCAAGTCCGGGAGCGACGGGCCAGCCGCGGGCGGCGGGGCCGCGACCGCCTCCCGGTTGCTGGCCCTGCCCACCGGTGCGAGGGGGTGCGCCCCTGCGCCGCCCGGCGACGCGTCGCAGGCAGCGGGACACGGAGGCAGGGGCGTCCTGAGGCGAGGGAGGAAAAACCACCCGGACCGTCTGACAATTGACGTTTGCCAAACGGCCTTGGGCATTTACTTTTCGATTCCTTCCCAGGGTGCGTCTACTAAACGGCTTCGCTTGTCAGGTGATTATTATGGGAATGGATTTTCCGCCCTCTACTGAAGGAAGGGAGGGTCGGGGGCGGCCAAGAGGAGGGGTGGTGACAAGGGGGTGGGGCGGACATCATGGCCAGGGCTAGGATGTTTTCCTGGATTTCGTGGCGCCTCTCCTTCCCTCAGCGCAGTCCACCTGCATCGCAAGGATGCGCAATGGTCCAAGGGAGCCCTTGCATCCTTCCGCTTCGGCCCATCCTCGGCCGCTTTCGCCGGCCGCGCCCCGCACGCAAAGAGTCGAAATGGCCCTCCGAGGCCCTCGCATCCTTATCGTGCGTCCTTACTGCAGTAAGGGCGCGCATCAAGAAACCATATGCTTTTCGTCAGGGTATCCTGGGTTTCTTTGCTCCTCGCGCTGCGCGGCGAATTCCCGCGGCCGTTGAAGGAGCTGCTGCGTTCGGGGTGCTTTGGGCTCCCCCCTACATGCACATCGCGATTGCGGGCTTCAGAGCTGGGTTTCTTGCGAGGGTTTCCTGCGGCCACGCCCGCACTGTATTCGGGTACCTTGGGACGCCCACTCTCAGACACCCCACTCTTGGACGCCCCTCGTGCGCCCCGGCGCCGTCCGCCGGCGGTGCCCAGGCGGGGAAAACACAAACATAAATCCTCGTATATTTCCATACGTATATTGTGAAACATGGGAAGTAGGGGGGGAACGAACATCCCCCCTTCATGTACCCTTAATGTGGATATTATACATATATATGTATATGTAGATATGTGTATGTATATTCATATACATATATACATATACGACCACCCTTCGGGTGATGAGGAGGTTGTGTGGGGGGGGAGAGGGGGGGGAACAAACATCTGACTCAATCGATCTCACCATCGATCTCACTCAACGGGACACCACGAGAAACCGCGGGACATTTGGCGATCTCACTGTCGGTCTCACTACCGATCTCACTATCGATTTCACTCAACGGGACACCACGGGACACCTCGGGACACCACATCGATCTCACTATCGATCTCTCTCAACGGGACACCACGGGACACCTATCGATCTCATCGATCTCACTATCGATCTCATTATCGTGGGACACCACGTGAAACCACGGGGCACCTCGAGGCACTACATCGATCTCAGGATCGATCTCACTATCGATCTCATTCAACGGGACACCACGGAACACCGCTAGGGCACCGCTAGTGCTACCGCCGGACGGACGGACGGAGGAGAAACATTTGTCTTGACTTCGCCCTAGCAACGGCGGGTTCATTCCTCTCGCGCGCCACGCAGCTTTGCCTCGCACGCACGACACGAACGAAACGAAACGATTTCCCGGTTGGGGGTCTCCATTCTTTTGCGATCTCACCCCCTAACTTCCGAAACATATGTATATGCTCGCCCCCCCCCCCAGCACCCCCCAACGACAGCCTGGGGGGTGGAGGGGCATCCTTCTCATCATCATTCTCTTCCTCCTCCTGCTCTTTTGCCTTCTCCCTGTCATGATCTTCATCCTGCGTTCCTTCCCCAGATTCACGCGTGTGTCACGCGGCTTCATTGAGAACAAGTGATGCGTCGTCGTCGCTTCTCTGTCGCCTCCCTCTCAGCACCCGCCTCTGTGCCTCCCAAATCAAGACAGAGAGCAATCATGCACAGCGCGTGGCGCCTTCGGTGCAAGGAAACAGACCAGAAATTATTCACTGCGTGGGGATCCCCATATGTGCATCTCCTTGCTGGCGCTCCCTTGGTGGTGGGACTCAGTGAGGACGAATCTGGATTTAAGTGTGACTGAGCTGCCTCTCTCTCTGCTCTCTCTGCTCTCTCTGTCTCTCTCTCTCTCTCTCTGCCCTCTCTCTGTCTCTGCCTCTCTTTCCCTGCCTCTCTCTCTCTCTGCCTCTCTCTCTGCCTCTGTCTCTCTGCCTCTCTCTCTCTCTCTCTGCCTCTCTCTCTGTGCCTCTCTCACTGCCTCTACCTCTGCCTCTCTCTCTCTCTCTCTCCTCTCTCTCTTCTCTCTATTCTCTCTCTGCTCTCTCCTCTCTCTCTCACTATCCCTCTCTCTCTCTCTATCGCTCTCTCTCTTCTCTTCTCTTCTCTTCTCTTCTCTTCTCTTCTCTCTCTCTCTATCTCTCTCTCTATTTCTCTCTCTATCTCTCTCTCTCTCTCTCTTCTCTCTCTCTCTCTCTTTCGCTCTCTCGCTCTCTCTTGCTCTCTCTCGCTCTCTGTCGCTCTCTCTCGCTCTCTCTCTCTCTCTCGCTCTCACTCGCTCTCTCTCGCTCTCTCTCGCTCTCCCTCGCTCTCTCCCGCTCTCTCTCTCTCTCTCTCTCTCTCTCTCGCTCTCTCTCTCTCTCTCTCTCTCTCTCTCTCTCTCTCTCTCTCTCTCTCTCTCTCTCTCTCTCTCTCTCTCTCTCTCTCTCTCTCTCTCTCTCTCTCTCTCTCTCTCTCTCTCTCTTCTATCTCTATCTCTCTCTCTCTCTCTCTCTCTCTCTCTCTCTCTCTCTCTCTCTCTCTCTCTTCTCTCTTCTCTCTCTCTCTGTCTCCTCTCTCTCTCTCTCTCTTCTCTCTTCTCTCTCTCTCGCCTGTCTCCTCTCTCAACTCCCCCTCTCTCTCTCTCTCCGCTCTCTCTCTCTCTCTCTCTCTCTCCCTCTCTCTCGCTTCCTCTCTCTCTCTCTCTCTCTCTCTCTCTCTCTCTCTCTCTCTCTCTCTCTCTCTCTCTCTCTCTCTCTCTCTCTCTCTCTCTCTCGCTCGCTCGCTCGCTCTCTCTCTCTCTCTCTCTCTCTCGCTCGCGCTCGCGCTCGCGCTCGCGCTCGCGCTCTCTCTCTCTCTCTCTCTCTCGCTCTCTCCCGCTCTCTCTCTCTCTCTCTCTCTCTCTCTCTCTCTCTCTCTCTCTCTCTCTCCTCTCTGCTCTCTTCGCTACTGGCTTCTGACGGAGTCTGGGTTAGGTGAGCCTGAGTGTGGGTGAGTCTGAGTATGGGTACGTCTGTGTGTGCCTGACTCTGAAGAAATGAATCTGAGTGTGAGTGAGCTTGTGTATGAGTGAGTCTGGGTGCGAGTCTGAATCCCAATGGTGCCCCTGGCAGTGTCTGGCGACTAGGAGGCCCGGGTCGACTCCTCTTTGGGAAGCCAAAATGCTGCCCCTGGCAGCGTTTGGTGACTATGAAGCCCCTGGTGGACCCCCCCTGGGGCTCCCAAATGATGCCCCTGGCAGCGTTTTGTGACCATGAGGCTCTCAAGAGATACATGTTGGGGACGCCAAACGGCAATTCTAGCTGAGGCGTCCCACCAAAATCGGCGCGAACGGGCTCGTGAGATCAGCCAGGGTGGCTCCCCCTTGGGGCTCCCAAATGATGCCCCTGGCAGCGTTTTGTGACCATGAGGCTCTCAAGAGATACATGTTGGGGAGGCCAAACGGCAATTCTAGCTGAGGCGTCCCACCAAAATCGGCGCGAACGGGCTCGTGAGATCAGCCAGGGTGGCTCCCCCTTGGGGCTCCCAAATGATGCCCCTGGCAGCGTTTTGCGACCATGAGGCTCTCAAGAGATACATGTTGGGGGCGCCAAACGGCAATTCTAGCTGAGACGTCCCACCAAAATCGGCGCGAACGGGCTCGTGAGATCAGCCAGGGTGGCTCCCCCTTGGGGCTCCCAAATGATGCCCCTGGCAGCGTTTTGTGACCATGAGGCTCTCAAGAGATACATGTTGGGGAGGCCAAACGGCAATTCTAGCTGAGGCGTCCCACCAAAATCGGCGCGAACGGGCTCGTGAGATCAGCCAGGGTGGCTCCCCCTTGGGGCTCCCAAATGATGCCCCTGGCAGCGTTTTGTGACCATGAGGCTCTCAAGAGATACATGTTGGGGGCGCCAAACGGCAATTCTAGCTGAGACGTCCCACCAAAATCGGCGCGAACGGGCTCGTGAGATCAGCCAGGGTGGCTCCCCCTTGGGGCTCCCAAATGATGCCCCTGGCAGCGTTTTGTGACCATGAGAGAGTGTGAGTGTGAGTGAATGTGACTGTGCGTGAGTCTGAGTGAGAGTGAGTCTCATTTTATCTTATCGAGTCCTATCTTATCTTACCTTTATTACCCTCTATCTTATCTTAGCTTGAAATCTCTTATCTTGTCTTAGCTTATCTTATAGCATGTCTTATCTTATCTGGTGATTATCAGTGGGAGGAGGGAGGCGGGAGGCGGGAGGAAGGAGGAGGAGTGGGAGGCGTCAGAGTAATAACAAGAACCCCAATCCTTAGGATATGGGGAAAAACATACATATCATATGTTGGGCGCCATCGATGCAAGGAAACGATGCGTGTATTATGTTGGGGTCTTTGAAACAACGACAAACTGTTTATTGTTCTGGGAGTCTGTGAAGCAACGCGGCACTGTGTATTCTTTAGTTTTGCAAGGCCCAATGCTCACCGCGTCCTCCCTCTCAGCACCCCTCTCTCTGCAAGGAAATGCTGTGCATGCGTGTTTTTTGGGTCTGTGAAACAACGAAACACTGTGACGTTTTGGTTTCTTTGTTTTTTTCTTTTGGGAGGCAGGGAAAGGGGTGCTGGGAGGGAGGCCGCGGCGAGCATGGGGGCTTGCAAAACCAAAAAAGCAAATAATCAACCATACGCAGTGTCTCGTTGTTTCACAAACCCAAGAACCCCCCCTCCAAAAAAAACAACAATACGCAGCGGTTTTTGTTTGTTTGGGGGGAGGCAGGGAAAAGGGGTGCTGGGAGGGAGGCCGCGGCGAACATGGGGCTTGCAACACCAAATAAAGTGAAACAGCCAAAAATACACAGTGTTCCGTTGCTTCACACACCAAACAAACCAACACAACAACAAACATGCACAGCGTTTCCTTGAATCGAGCGCGCCAAGCATTGTGTATGTTTGGTTGTTTTGGTTTTGAGAGGCAGAGATAAGGGTGCTGGCAGGGAGGCCGCGGCAAGCATGCGGGCTTGCAAAAGAAAAAGCACAAACAACAAACATACACGGTGTTCCGCCGTTTCACAGACCCGAGAACAAAAAAAAAAACAACCAAACATACACAGCGTTTCCTTGCATCCTTGGCGCCACACACTGTTTTTTTCTTGGTTGTGGGAGGCAGAGAGAAGGGTGTTGGTGATCAGATGCATGGAAGAAGTGGTATGGCATGCATGGAAGAAGGAGAATAAGAAGATGTATGATCATGTGTGGAGGAGGAGGAAGAGAAAGATGATGAAGAGGAGGAGGATGAGAAGGAGCAAACGATCAATGATGGATTTGTGGTTTTGGTGGTTTGGGGGGTGCGGGGGGCGGAGACCATTTATAGCTGTATATGTCTATATATAGACATATATATAGAGAGAGAGAGAGAGACATAATATATTTATGTGTATATACTTATATATACGTGTATACCGAATCCTGGGATGTGTCTATTTATTTGTGTGTCCCTGGACCTTTTAGATGCGTCGCAGGAAGCGGATCTCCCCATGAGGGAGAATATCCCAGTTGCGGTTGGGGGGTCCGAGATTGTTCCCCGTCCTCGGGCTCCCGGGACCCTCCACGGGCCCCAGGACTGAGACGGCTCAGGATGAAGAATCCGACACGCGCAGAGGGGGGCAGGGGGAGGGGGGAAGGCTTCTTAGAAACACCCCTGCTTCTGAAAAGGCGCGGGCCTTGTCTACAAGTGTAAGGCCCGCGCCTTCTAAGAAGCAATCTCCTTCTAAGAAGCCTCCCCCCTCCACTTACCCCTGGTGGAAGGTCCCGGGGTCCAGGACCCGTTGCCCTCAGGACCTTTTCTTTGTCATGCAAGGGATTACCGATGGAGGAAGTGTGCCTTCAAGGAAGGGGGAGGGGAAAGAGCCTTTTTTTCCGGGGCGATGACGGCCGTCACCGGGGGGGAGGGGGGGGAAGGGGGCCTTTGACGTAGCGTTTCGCGCCGGCGGCGTCTGAAAATGCATAGGAACGACCGAGGACGGGTAGCAGCAGTATGTGGGTGGCGATCTGTACCACAGCGACTGTGTACAGCACAGTGCCTGCATGCACCACTGCGTCTGTGCACACCACAGCGCTCGTGTACAAAACAGCAGCCGCGTGCAACGCAGCGCCAGTGTGCACCACAGTGCCTGCGTGCACCACGGCGCATGTCTATGATACAGCATCTGCGCACACCACATCAGCCGTGTGAAACACAGCTCCAGTGTACACAATGCCTACGTGCACCACAGCGCCAGTGTACAGCAACCGTGCGCAACAGAACGCCATCGTTGTAACATAATGTTTGAAACATTGGAAACTTGGAATTTGCAAGACGCTTCTGCTTGTTGGTCAGGCGGGAGGTACCGATCGAACTTTCGAGGCGAATGCGCGCATTGCCATGGCGGGAGTCACGTTTAAGATCATGTGCCTGTCATCTTAGTGAGTGTTAGAAGCTTGAACGACTTTCGCGCACGTCATTCAGGCCAGAAACGACATCGTTGAATCGATTTGCCTTCCATCCGTGCATTGCGTTGTTTGCTGGCATCAGGATCACAATGTGGAGCCTGTGCTTTTTGGGTCCATCCCCCCCCCGGGATTATTCGCATTCTCGGGGGGAGGGGGGCGCGACGGGGCTGGTAACATCACGGTTTGCCCCACGCGGGGTTTGGGAGTGCATACTATGTTTAGGCATTCCCGAGCGGGGTTGGGTCGCGGCCAGTATCGGCCGTCATCGCCATGAGCACGAACCAAAAAACCTCATGTGAGGAATTCTCAGGCGAAAGGACAGGACCGAACTACCGACACGCCTGGTCGCGCGACGAGGAGGAGTGAGGTTGGGCGACGGATGGGGGAGGAGGAGGAGGAGAACGAGGAGGAGGAGGAGGAGGTTGAGGGGGAAGGGGAAGGGGGATGGGGAGGGGGAGGGGACGGGGAGGGCCAGGGCCCCCGCAGGAGCTAGGGCTGGACAAGCACCCTACCTGAATTTTACTCTCGTCCCTCCCCCGAAGATGGCGGGGGAGTGGCCCACCCTCTCCGCTGTCGTTGTCAGTCGCACAGGGCTCCATGAGTTCGTGCTCCCAGTGGCGTTTTTAAATCGGAAGCCCCCTTTTTTAGATCGGTGCTGCCGTTGCCGCGTGGGCCTCATCTTAGGATCGGTGCTTCCCTCCCTTCGTTCAGAGTGGCGCTCTCGCCCCAGCCTGGGCCACGTTTCTGGCTCCGTGTGCTACCTTGTCGCTGTCGCCGCCCCATTCCTTCCCCCTCTCCCGCCGTCTCCTGGTCCTCTTCCTCCTCCCGCTTCTCCCACTCCAGCTCAGGACTGGACCTAAACGGTGTTTTGGCGATTTCGTGGGCCGGTTTCGTTCCGACTTCGTTTTGCGGTAAAGGCGGATCGAAGACACAACGAGGGAAAACGAAAACAAAACGAAAACGAAGAACACCGTTCAGGTTCAGGCCTGCTCTGGCTCATGCCACAGCTGGGCCTCGCCTTTCTCCTTCCTCCTCCTCCTCCTGCTCGTCTTCTTCCTCCTCCTGCTCATCCTCCTGCTCAGCCGCCACCTCCTCCTCCAGAGTTCAGGAGGGAGAGAAACACACAGACACAATTAATCGTCGATTCCCCAGAAAATATGGGAAAATATGGGAAGTGGTGGGGAAGACAAAAACAAAGAAAATATGAGAAATATGGGGAATCCTTTTCTTTGTGTGTATTTGTTTGTGTGTCCCAGGGCCCCTTCAGCAACCTCCTCCTCCAGAGTACCTTGCTCCCTTTTTCCTGATTGCGCATGACACGGTGGGCCGCATTCGGCATTCCAGGTCCGGTATGGCACGCGTCGGCGGATAGAACAAGGAGGGTGGGAGGGGTAGGGTGTCGGGTATGGCGCGAGCGCACCTAGCTTTGCGAGAACATCTTTTCTCTTTCGTCCTCTCTTCCTTCTTCCCTTCCTCTTCTTTCCTTTCCTCTTGGTCAGCTTGAGCGGCGTGCAGTCTTCTCGGCTGCACCTCTGCTTCGCGACACTCCTCCGATGTGATGCTGCCTGTGGGCGAGGCGAAGACGAAACCGGGGGGGGGCTGAAGGGGATGGCGGGAGGCCCTCCCCCCAGCGCCGCGTAGATCTCTAGCCCTTCCCGATGGTGTCGGAGTGCAGTCGAATTTGCTCAGTAGGTTGGTCCTTCCAGATCAAGTCACCCTTCTGTCCTGCGTTTCGCGTCGCACGTCCTCCGCAGCCTGGCCCTTGTGTCCTCTTGCTGGTCCGCTTCAATCAAGACCGACTTTAGATAGGGGTCGGGGGATGGCGCCGCATCGCCGATGCATCGCCGATGCCGCTCGATATCGATCCCGATGTTCTCCACGCTGACGCCGCCGATGCATCACCGACGTCGCCGATGCATCGCCGATGCATCGGCGGTGCGGCACGGTCCTCTCCGATCCCATCTACTCGGACCCTGCCTGGAAGGCCTTTACGGAAGGATGGGGGCAAGTCGAGGAGAAGCGGGGTGAGAAGGGGGATGATGATGATGATGATGATGATGATGATGATGATGATGATGATGATGATGATGATGATGATGATGTTGATGTTGTTGATGATGATGATGATGTTGTTTATGTGAATGATTATGATTATGATGGTGGTGATTATGATGATCATGATGACTATGATGATCATGATGATTATGATATTGATGTTGCTGTTGATGCTGATGATGACGATGATGCTGATGATGATGAGGATGACGATGATGATGACGATGATGATGCTGATGCTGACGATGATGCTGATGCTCATGCTGCTGCTGCTGATGATGTTGATGCTGGTGTTGATGCTAATGCTGATGATTCGTATGATGATGATGGTGATGGCGACGACGATGGTGATGATGCTGCTGATGAGGATGCTGATGCTTACGTAGATGATTATGCTACTGGTGATGATGATGATGATGATGATGACGACGATGACGATGACGGTGATGGTGATGGTGATGGTGATGGTGATGACGACGATTGTGATTATGTTGATGATGCTGACGATGTTGTTGTTGTTGGTGATGATAATGATGATGATGCTGATGATAGTAATGATGATGAGCATGATGATGACGATTGCCATGATGAGCATGATGATGATGTCGAGGAGGAGGAGGAGGAGGAGGAGGAGGAGGAGGAAGAAGAGGCGAAGAAAGAGAGTTTGGAGGCCGATGCAGACGACCGGAGGCGCTCTTCTAGGAGCGCCCCCACCCCCTCACCAAAGCATGGCGGGAGGCCCTCCGCCCAGCATCGCGGGACGCCTGGCCCTCCCCCTCTCCCTCCCGGTGTGCAGGACTCCGACGAGGAGGCCCTCCACCTCTGCGCGCAGCGGGCCCTCGCGCGGCCGGCTGGCAGCCCGGAGCCGAAGCGGCGTAGGACCGAGGAGCCTCTGCGGGGGGGAGGAGGAGGAGGAGGAGGAGGAGGGCAGGTTGGAAGTGTTTGCAGCGTGGATGCGCACGCAACGAACGTCATGGGAATCGTGCAAGCGCTGCCACGCCACAGGGCCCCAAGAGCCAGACAGGCCCACCCCTGAACCAGGGTGGACGCTCCAACGACCCGCGAAACCAGGTATGGGGATGGGGGTAGGGGGAGAGGTCAAGACTCCCTCCCCGCCCGCAAGCCGTCTCGCTCACTCCCACCCACTCTCCCAACACATAGGTAGTACCCGAGTCTGGCCCGGGCCTCAGCATATTCAGCAGACTTTTTTGGCTGGGCAGCTACTGGGGGCCAATCCGCCGCCGCCGCCGCCGCGTCCGCCGCCGCCGCCGCAGGCGCCGCCGCCGCCGCCGCCGCCGCCGCTGCCCGCCGCCGCCGCCTCCGCGCCGCCGCCGCCGCCGTCGCCACCACGCCGCCCGCCGCCGCCGCCGCTGCCGCAGCCGCCGCAGCCGCCGCCGCCGCAGCCGCCGCCGCAGCCGCCGCCGCTGCCGCCAAGTGTACTTTGTATTGTTTTTGGGGCAGGGATGATGGGGTGAGGCCGCATCGGGTTGGCTGCGCATGCTCCGAATTTGGAGGCAGAGTGTGTCTTGTATTGTTTTTTGCAAGGGATGGTGGGGGGGTGCCCTCATGGTTCCTGGTTGGCTACCAGTCGCCTGGGGGAGGGTGTGCTTCTTTCGTAGGGAACAGTGGTAAACCCCTCCCCGAAGGGGAATAAGGGGGTTGGCAAAGAAAGCTTTCTACAATACCTACGCCCAGATGGCTGGTGGGATTAGCCGTGGTCGAATCTAACGAAAACGACCCCTGACGTTTAAAAGAGGCTGCACCTTCGCGCACGTCATGACCAGAGCCCTAGACCACGCTTTGCGTTGCCAGTTTCCCGACCCAGATCGATCGGTGAGGGCACCAAGGCCCTCACCGATCGATCTGGGTCGGTGAGGGCCGCCAGGGTCCCAGGCCCCCGACGCCGCGGTTTTATTGACAACGTCAGCCCTCAGAGCTCTCCCCTCCTCCTCCTCCTCGTCCTTCTCCTCTTCCTCCGCCTCCTCCTCCTCCTCGCCCTCCTCCTCCTCCTCCTCCTCCTCCTCCTTCTCCTCCTCTTCCTCATCCTCCTCTTTCTCTCGACTTCATGCCCGGGGCTGACTTCTCATCTTGAGTCGTTTTGTTGGCGGCCCCGGCGAGGCCCGGCAAGGGCTCACTGGAGGCTGAAAAGAACGAGGCCGCGCCCGTCGCGATAATGTGTTTCACAACGCGAGGGGGTCCTGGGTCCGAGGGGTATGGGGGGGGAGGACATGCCACGGATTATGATGTTCCAACTTACGTTAGCCTTGATCACCAGAAAGAGTTTCGAGCACCCAAGAATTACCAACATTCGACGGTTTTCACGTGTCGGGCCCTGGGAGACACTCGTCCGACACTGTTTCGACACTGTCCGACGGGCTGCCCCGCGGCGCGGCGGCGCGCCAGGCGGCGCGGCGCGAAGTTCCTGCTCGTCGTGTTCCTCCTGCTTCTGCTGCTGCTGCTGCTGCTGGTCCTCCTCCTCCTCTTTCAGGCTACCTTTCCTCCTCCTCCTCCTCCTCCTCCTCCTCCTCATCCGCGGTCTCCTCCTGCTCGTTTTGACTGGTACCTTCTCGGCGAAGGGGGTCTCATCTTCATCGCCGAATATGAGCTCGTCGTGTTCGCCCCGTTCCTGTCCCGAGCTGCCCCCGCAGGCGGTTCCCTAGCTTCACAGTGCGCCGTTCCCCTCAGGGTACGTGCGCTCGTTTTCCTCCTGCTCCGCCTCCTCTGGGCGGAGTGGCCCAGGGGCACACCCCGATCTCACGGGCTGCCCCTGCCCGGAGGTCTCGACCTCTTCACTTGGAACGGTTTTTCGTCCTGGATCCATTTCCCCGGGCGCAACAAAGAACCACAACCACAATAAAGTGGATCTTTCGGGAGGGGCTCTCGAGGGAGAAAACCACCGACCTTGACATTAGCACTTTAGTTGTCGTTGTGGTCTGTGTGGCTTTCCTGAAACGCCGCATCGACCACAACCAGTACGAAGTTGCTTTCAATATTCGGAGAATCGTGGCATGCGCAAAACGTCCTTCTGGGCTGTATCCTCGATGCTGGTGTGGTCGCCTGCTGTCCTCGCAACTTCGGATGGTCCCCAGGAGCCCCAGAGGCCGTACTCGAGGAAGCATCACCAGGTTGAAAAGATCAGCTACTCGGAGATCTGGGCCCCCGATTCCAGAACCTCGACGTCGTCGTGATTTTTGTCACACCGTCTACCCCCAGAGGTCTCGACCCCTTCCCCCGGACCAGTGCTTCAACCCGAGTCGTTTCTTGACGCTCCTGGGGCCTGGCGAGGGCCCCCAGAGGCCGAAAATAGTGAACCTCCCGCCGCGTTTTTTTGTTTTACGACGCGAGCATGCCCGGGAGCTCTGGGTCCCCGACCCGCCAGCATCGGGCCGGGCGAAAGGGGGGATTGGGAAAGGGGGGGTTACGAATTTTGCTGCATGCAGCTGGTTTCGGCCTCACCGAGGGGCCCATTCCTCGATACATAGCCGCCTCTGGCGCTGGGAGGCGCCGGGAAAATCAGCTACGTGAGCTGATTCTCAAACCCCCCCTTTGCTATCCCCCCTTTCGCCCGACCCGCCAGCAGCCCCCCACGCGGGAGGCGCCCCGCGGCGCCGCGCGGAGCTCCGCCAGCCCAGAGCAGCCCGGCCCGCCGGGGGGCGGGGCCGGGAGCCCGGCGCGGAGCGGCTGCGGCCCGGAGGACGCCCGGGGGGCTTCTCTCAAGCAGTGGCGAAGCGTCCTGGCTCGCCTATAGCCCTACCAAGCAATGTTCTAAGATCCTTTCGTGGTTCCCACGAAAGGTTCTTAGAACATTTCTGGCCAGGACTGTCTTGTTTTAGCACATCGGGTTTATGTTCTAAGAACCTTCTTAGAACAGTTTTGGGTTCTAAGAACATGGCGTGGTATGACTATAGGAATACCGGGACGGTCGGTCCCTGGTCGATTCTCGGGGTCCGCGGCGCGGTGGTCTCGAGGCCGCTTGTCGTTCTGGTGCGGCGCTGGCCCCCACGTGTGGTACTCCAAGGGGGGCCTCGCCCCCGGGGACGGATGGGGGCTGCCGTCTCTGCTGCGGAGGGAGGCGGCGGAAGCAGCACGGCGGCCGCTCCGCCAGCGGAGGCCAGCGGAAGCAGAAGTCGACCTCCCGAGAGATGACAACATGTCGCTCCCTTTCGTGAGAGCTTGCGGGTCCCGACTCCAGGGCGCCTGCGCGCCGGTGCTGCTCCCCGCCCGCCACTCTTCTGGCGACGGAAGTCCTGGCCCTGGTCCGGCGTAGCAGCAGCACGTACGGTCTATTCAATATTGCACGCCCACGTGGCCAGGGTCATCCCGCTGCACACTGGGTAAGGCCCTGCGAGCGCCTACCGAGTCCCGGGTTCCCTGCCTGCCCCAAACAGGTCGGATCCCACATGCGCCTCACATTCCCGTTGGTCATTCGTGCCGCAGGCCTCGGTTCCGACGCTTGTCCCTGATTGTCGTTTCCCCAAGGCGTGGTGCAAACGCCGTTTTCCAGGCGTGGTCCTCCCGAATGCGCCCCGACTGGCCCCCCCATCGTCCCAGTAGCCTTGTGCGCCGCAAGTGCTGGACGGCCCACGAATTGGCCCTGCACGGCTCCGCCGAGCACTGCTTTGGGCCCGCGTGCGGGTATGATTTTCAAAAGAGTTTCGAAGCATCTCGCGACTCCACGGACTAGGCGCGCGGTCGCCAAATCCATGGATCGGGGGGAGGTGCCCTCCCCAAAATGCGGCCGGTGCCGCCTCGCTCGGCGGCGGAAATCCGCGATTTCCCATGGAAGCGGGGCCCGTCGCTAGTCCACGCCCCCTTGATCCATGTTCGCGATCGCCTGAGCGACGAGAGGACGCCACGTCACAGATCATTCGCTCCACACGTGAGGCATTCCAGACGCCATCTCCCTGGCTGGCCACGGGCAAATGATAATTCGGGCGGGACGATGTTTTGGTACTCTGGTTGATTCGTTTACGGCTGAATATTTAGCTTTGGAGTGGTCTCTCGATGTACTATTCACGACAATCTTGGTGGACTGAGGACAGCGGGTAGTGGGCAGGTAGGATGTGTGTTCGACGCATTGTCCGTAGTTGAAGAAGAAGAAAGAGTTTCGAGCACCAGGAAAGTACCGGAACTGGAGGTTTGTTCACGTGTCGGGCCCTGGGAGGCGATACTCTTCCGGCACCGTTTCGACGCTTCTCTGGGTGCTCGAAATGAATTCCGGGATGTGGCCCTCAAGCACGATGGGAGCAGCATGAGGGGGGAGGTCTTCTCATGCAGCCCAGACGCTGAGGTAAATGCCGCTTTGGATCCAGGAGGTTCGGATGCAACTCCTGGGAGGTCAAATTCTGATCTTGCCCTGGTCCGAAATCCGGCTTAATCCCGCTTAATCCCGCTTAATCTGGCTTAATCCCGCTTAATCCGGTTTAATCCCGCTTACTCCGAGGCCCACTCCGGCGTAATAGCCCCCAAATGGGGCTTGATCCTCCTTAATCTTTCCGACGAAAACCTCCCAGCAGTTGCCTCCTAAAGGAGGGGGTCTGGTCTTCGGGCCGCCCCCCGGAGCCTGGTCGCGGGGGGCCCTTGTCGTGGCCGGGGCCCGCCGTGGCCAGGAACGAGCCCCGGGGGGGGCGCACAGAGGCGACGACGAGGGGCGGGCAGCGGCACGGGTGCCTGGCGCTCCTCTTGGCATCGCTCGGACGTGTGCATTTTCTCTCGGCGAGAACCATCGAGGACCATCCTGGACCATCGAGCAAAAAAAAACACGCACGAAGCCGAAACTTGGATGGGAAGTGGACGCCCGAGCGGCGGCAAGGCAGATTCCGCTTTTCAAGGAGAGCCGCCCTCCCCGCGGGCCGCTCGCTCACCACCGCGCCAGCCCCCGCCCCTGAGATCCGTCGCTCTGGCGCATGTTGGAGCAGGCGGTGTGGGCCGTTTTCGGCCTCAGGGGGCCCTCGCCGGGCGTCGGGGGCGGCAAAGCATGACTCGGCACGAGAAGCCGGCCGGCCCTGGAGAAGTGAGTGGTCTGAGTCTGGACCTCCGGTCGGGACGACCGACATGGGCACGGAAAGAATGGGTGCAATGCCCAGCAGCAGTTCTGGTCCATTTTGAACAGGACTCGCTGCCCGCGCCGCCGCGGCCTGTGTCCATCTGAGACAGAAGGCCGCCTGCCCAGCAGCGGCCGCTGCTAGTTGGGGACAGCATTTGTTGTTGGGCATTGTACCCCTTTCTTCCGCACTCCCTTTCGGGCGTCTAAAGAGCAGGCCAAAGCAACAGCTGGAGATATGCTGCAGAACCTCGCCATTGCGCTCGGAAAGTGGAGCCTGTCCAGCGCTCAGAAGGTTGGGCAGTGTACCCATTTTTCCGCACCCACTTCGGGCGTCCACATCCGGGGCCCACGCACCAGAACATTGGATCGGGCCGGGCGAAAGGGGGGGATTGGGAAAGGGGGGGTTACGAAATTTGCTGCATGCAGCTGGTTTCGGCCTCACCGAGGGGCCCATTCCTCGATACATAGCCGCCTCCGGCGCCGGGAGGCGCCGGGAAAATCAGCTACGTGAGCTGATTCTCAAACCCCCCCTTTGCTATCCCCCCCTTTCGCCCGACCCGATTGGAGCAGCTGGAGGTCTGCGGCGCCCGCCCCGCCCGCCCCCCGCAGGAGGCTCCGGACGGCGCCAGCCCGCAGCCGGCCGGCGGGGCCGAGAGCCCCGCGCGCGGCAGCCTCGGCGAGCAGGCGGGGCTTCGGCCTGCACCCCTCGAGGAAGGGCCCTCGGGCAGCGCAGGGGAGGAAGAGGTACGATGGGCGTCATTTTCCACCACCACCAATTGGTAGGATCGGGAGGAGGAGGAGAAGGACGAGGAGGAGGAGGAGGAGGAGGAGGAGGAAGAGGAGGAGGACCTCCTCATCCTCCCTTCTCCCCCGTCCCACATATGGTAGCGGTGGTCAAACATTTGCCCATCAAGGTGCCCGTACCGCTGCCCACCGTTGGATTCGCTTGGATATCCTGGTCAGAACGCCCACAAGGTGAGGTAAAAATGAGGAGCAGCGGTATCGGTACGCTCTGGTTTCCCCAGGAGTGCCTTCCAGCAACGGCCCAGAATTGAAGGGTGGAGGTCGAGGAGGAGATGGTCGAGGAGGAGGAGGAGGAGGAGGAGGAGGAGCAGGAGGGGGAGGAGGAGCAGGAGGAGTTGGAGCAGGAGGAGTTGGAGAAGGAGAAGGAGGAGGAGGAGGAGGAGGAGGAGGAGAAGGAGGAGGAGGAGGAGGAGGAGGAGGAGGGGGCCCAGCGGCCCGGCCGCTCACCCATTCCTCTTCTCCCTTTCTCTTTGTGTATCATGTTGTCCTCCGCCCCCCCCTCCCGAGGCCCTATTTGACCACCTCGAACGGCCTCTTAGGACCGTCTTGGCCCGTCTTGGGGTCCTCAGGGGCCCCACAGGGAGTCGCGCGAGGAGATGCGGGGGAGCATGTGGGGCGCGCGGGAAGCCCCGAGCGGTTTCGGAGTTTGGGGCCTGGGCCCCCGAGAAGCTCCTCGGGAGCGAAGTCCGAGGCTCAGGGGATTGGGCAGAGGACCCGAGGGCACGCCCATTTGTGCCCGGGGGCACGGCGGCGGATGCGGAGTTGTTGTCCGCAGCTCGGGCGTGGAGTGCCCCGTGCGCCACTGCATCAAATGCCACGATGACAGTGTCTTGCCCTTCTGCAGGTGCAGCGGAGACTGCGTCAAGGGCATGCACGAGATCGACCAGCGCTCGGGTGCGATGCAAGACAAGATGTACAACCTGCAGCCCCTGCGCCATTCCTTATTGGTTCTGCGCCAGTGGCACTTGTATATGGACGTCGACGTGCACCCCGAGGCAATCAACATAGAGGTATACTACGACAACATCACAGTGCACGTCCTACTACTGACACCATGATGACGATCGCTACCATGAAAAACGAACTGCCGAAGACATTATTCGAGATGTCATGCGACTACTGCGTGCGCTACGTTGACCAGATCGTGACGTTCAACTACCCGAAGGACAGAGACCGCCTCAACTCCACGACCGAGCTCTACTACCAGCCGATCCAGAACGACGCGATCCACTACTACATCTGGCTCTGCTACGAGAATGGTGAGGGCGCGCCACAAGGGGCTTGCAAGGATACCTCCACGTCTTCTGACAAGCTCGTCATATTCATGGGCGCCGCTCCCGAGCAGTACTGCAACGACACGGACTTGGACAACAAGACCAAGGGCAAGGAAGGATCACCACTCCCAGGACGCCACCTACTTGAAACGCATGGCCAAGAAGCGCAAGCAAGCACAACGCGTCTAACGAGGACAAGAAGGACGACACCGACAAGGGTCCGGCTGAGCCGTACTACTTACATTTGCGGCAACGTGCATTATTTAGCGGGTGCGCTCCCAGGCCTGCTTCCAATACCTATCCCAGGGTTCGCATGCTCTACATGCGATTTGCTGCGTACGCGCTCTCTGGTGCCGGGCAATATGAATGCCTCTTCCACTCCGCGCGTACCTGCCTGGGTTCGTTTTGGGCGCGCAAACGTATGCGTTGCCCGTACGCAAGTTGGAATGCCAATTGTTCTCAATTGGGATTGCGGTACTACAAGACACCGGGGGACCACGCGACAGCGGAACTACACCCATTGGAACTGTTCCTTGCTGCTCCGATTGTCCGCCCGCCCAGCCTACTGCATGCCGCTCTTGAACGCCCAGTCTGCTCACTTCACCCGTTACTGAACTATTTCAGCACCACGTGTTATATGCCATCACCCTGCGTCGATAGTTACTAGCTCGAGACACTGGCGAAAACAGGGCCGCCCGCACCCATGGCGACCCTTGCCAGCACATGGATCCACAATGCACCCAATGGTCGCGCAGGCGAACAGGCGGGGATTGCATCTACGTCAGCAAGAGAATCTAGTTCATGTGCCAAGCTACCAAACACGACGGCGGCAAGACCTACATCAAGTTCACAGGTGCGGAGCCCGCATTCAAATTCTACCCCAATGACACCTACAACGTGCGCGCCGGCGTCGACAAGGCCATCTGTGATGAGTTTTCAGTCGGCCCTACAATGACGACCGTGCCGAGGGCCCACAACGGCCAAGTGGCACCAATACCATTACACAACGGCCACTGACTGTCTACACGCAATTACATGGCCGCAGATGCACACTGCTGGAGGTCAGCGGCGAGGTTTGCGTACTACCCGCCGTTCGACCCTCACAGGGAGGATTTACGCCGTTCCAGATGTTCCGAGAACATCCAGGATCCCCGAGTTTAAGCCGACCATCGTTGAGCACTTAAACCGTCAATGATTACGCGCACATGCATATCAACCACGGGAAAGCGGAGCTCACCAACGGGCAGAACCTCCATTACCAGCGTGGCTCGCAGTACTCCATCGACATACTGGACCCGACAGTCCCGACAGGGACTCCCATCACAGTCGACTACTACCAGAACAGTGGCTTACCGCCCTCAGTGGCACCGCACCACAAGCCTGGACACTCTGAACTACCGAAGCGCCCCCTTTTGCGACTAAGCTATCGACGATGGGCTCTGTTTTACTATGCTGGTATCCAGGGCTCTCCTATTTCTTTTTACTTACATTGGATACCCAGAGGCTACGATGACTGAGTGCTCATAGGGTTACGTACGTTGTTCCGTCACGCTTTCCCCACCACAGTACCTCAACCACACCACTATCGACAACGCATGCAAAGTGCAACGTTACTGGCACGACACACCGTCGGCATGGGCATTATACCAACCCCCATTCAAGTGTGCCACATGCACATCGCACCGTAAAGTGTTCTACGTCGTCCGAAACAGCCCGCTGTACTCCCATACGTGAGTGGCAGGGCCGCTCATCCTTACCCCACTTTTGACGTACCTCGGGAGCCTCAGGATGTAGGATGGATTTGTGGCCCCCTTTCCTTCTCGCCTCTTGCGGAAACTGCGTCCCCCCCTTGACGCGCTCCGCGCGCCTTGAGGGGTGCCCAGCACCGGACCAAGAAATCCGCCCGGACCTCCCGAAGTAAATGTTTATGGTGTTTTTCTCTGCGGACCGTTCCCCGCGGAACCCAGCGCGCCAGACGACGATCGACCACGATCGGCGGCGATCGATGACGGCGTTGACGGCGATCCACGGCGACGGTGGCGCACAACATCGGTGGCGAGCGACGACGACGATAGCGTACGACAACAGCGACGAAGGTGACTTTGTCGACGGCATACGCCGATGGCATACGCCGATGGCATACGCCGATGGCATAGCTGACGGCGGCGTCGACGACGGCCGCTGCGCCGCCCACAGCAGGCGGACGATGAGTGGGTGGTGGCGGAGGACGCGTGCACCCTGGATGCGGTGGCGACCCTCGAGCCCAGGAGCCAATGAAGAAGATTTCGGCCAACATTTTTCGGCTGTTGCAGGAGGTGTCCCTGGCCCAAGGTTTCCCCTGATCGTCGCTCCACTTTGGGAGCTCCCAGGGGCCTTCGGGGCCTCCTGGAAGCACCTGAGAGAGGGAAGAGAAGAGCGGACTGGAGAGCGGGATGATGAGGGAGATGATGAGGGGGGTGAGGAGGAGGAGGAGGAGGAGGAGAAGGAGGAGGAGGAGGAGGAGGAGGAGGAGGATGAGGAGGAGGAGGAGGAGGAGGAGGAGGAGGAGGAGCGGGAGGAGGGATCAGGGACGAGGGACGAGGGCCACTGAGAGCGCGTCCGAGTCGAACACTTCTCAGGCTAAATAGGAAAGCCTGGAGGAACCGCTGAGCGGCGGGGGCGAGGACGCGTGGCGGGGGCCAGGGAAAACCCACGCCTCTGAACGCAACCAGGAACAAGCCACGCGAGTTAGGCTTTGGCCTCTCTGAGCACTGAGGGTTCCCAGGGCGTCCATGAAACATCCTGTCGTTCTACCTGAGCTGACCATTACGGGTTTTCGGATTCGCTGAGAGCCCCCGACACGGACCGCGGAGTTTCCAAAGGCTCCGAGTTGTCAAGACAGGCGTGCCAGCACATTTGCGACAGCAAAACACAGACTTAACACAGAAAACATCGTGCCCAAACTCAGAGGACGGGGAGGAGGCGGAGGAGGAGGAAGAGGAGGGGGAGGAGGAGGAGGAGGAGGAGGAGGAGGAGGAGGAGGAGGAGGAGGAGGAGGAGGAGGAGGACGACGAAGAGGAGGAGGAAGAGGAGGACGAGGAGGAGGGGGAGGAGGAAGAGGAAGAGGAGGAGGAGGAGGAGGAGGAGGAGGAGGAGGAGGAAGAGAGGGGGAGAGGAGGAGGAGGAGGAGGAGGAGGAGGAAGAGGAGGAGAAGGAGGAGGAAGAGGAGGAAGAGGAGGAGGAGGAGGAGGAGGAGGAGGAAGAAGAGGAGGAGGAGGGATTAAAGGGAGGGAAGAGGACGAGGATGAGGCGGAGGGGGGGAAGCAGGAGGAGGACGAGGACGAGCCAGGCACGAGGACACCTTCGGCAACACCCCGAGTATGCGCCCCACCTCGGGCCCTCCGTGGATGCCTCCACGGGCCGGCCTGGCCCGAGGACTCGGCGTGGACGGACAGGGCCTCGGAGACGAAATGGTTGCTGCCGGGCCACCCCGGAAGGCGCGAAGACGATCGCGCTCCGCGCATCTCGGCATGGACCAGCCATGGGAGGTCGGCAGCGCGCGGGCACGACGGCACTGCGCGCCGCGCACCGCGGGGCGCGGTGTGCGAAGGCAGGCGGCCTGGTTCTCGCGCGCCGCCGGACATATGATGACGCCTTATACTGGGCCTGGTTTCCACCACCACCACCACCATAAGCTGGAGGGGGAAGGAGGAGGAGGAGGAGGAGGACGAAGAGGAGGAGGGCGAAGAGGAGGAGGAGGAGGAGGTGGAGGAGGAGGTGGAGGAGGAGGAGGAGGAGGAGGTGGAGGAGGAGGGGGAGGAGGAGGAGGATGAGGAGGAGGAGGAGGACCCCCTCCCCCTCCAACGTATGGTGGTGCTGGTGGTGGTGGTGGTGGAATGCAGGCCCATCACATTATGCCTTCGTAAGACAACTGCGTGTCTCCCAGCGCTGTCGGTGCTGCCCGCTTGTTCCCTTGGAACCCCTTTGTGAACAAAAATAGTGACTGGCCGTGAGCTCATGTCCCCAGAGGTTAGTAACATGACTCTGCGTCTGCGCTCATTAAGCTCATCCCTTCCCCGTGTCGTGACTCCTTTCCCCTGGCCATCTAGCAGGGTATGGCCCGCTCATGGGTTTTGGAGCGGCCAGAAATCTTCTCCGACGGCGTCGCCTTGTTCTCCGCGAGACGTCGCGATACCCCGCGGGCCTGAGTGGCGCGCGTTGTTGCCTTCTGATTGCCGCACAGCGGGGCGCTCAGTGGAGGCCACGCGCCCCGTCGTGCTTCATCTCGCTCCGCACTGCAGCGTAGTTTCGTTCCGCGCATCGTTGCCTTAGCGGGTCAGCCTTCTCGCTGCTCTGAGGTGGGCAGCACCATGAAGCTCCCGACCTCGTTGTATTCTCGCCTGTCTGCTTCTCTTTCGAGCGCATCCGTGTCCCCCATCGCTGACAGAGGGGGCAGGGGTGAGGAGGAGGAGGAGAAGGAGGAGGAGACGGGAGGGATGAGTGCGAAGGGGGATGGGGGACGAATTCGTGGGCACCCGATCGCTGACTTCTGAGAATCGCTTCCCGAGCCGTCCCTTCAGTTACCGTCCTTGGCGACGGGCATTTTTCCAGGCTGGCAGGAGCCTGCATGCGCATGTAAAGCTATTCGCGTGCATACAGGATCGTGGGAGGGTATGCAGGGGGGAGCTGCGCGAGGGACAGAAGGAACGGACATGAGGTTGAGTGGCTATGGAGCGGTTATCGTGATCGCAATGGTGATTGGTCGCGTTGCTTTCTGACCGCATTCAGGGAGCGCGACCTTCCGAAGCTTTACCTGCATGGTTTCTCCAGGGGACACATCAAGCAAGTGTGTGTGTGTGTGTGAGGGGGCGGATCGATTTGAGCCACTTCCAGCGAGGCTGACTTTTATTTATTTCTCGAGGCTCGCAACCCTTGGGTTAACGCGGAATCGATCAGGGAGGCGTGTTTCGGTCATCATCCGCTGCATGTTACCCTCGAATGGGGGCTCAGCGGCTATGGCTACCAACGGCAGGGCGTTACTTGGATGCTGAAGTTGTTTCAAAAGGAGACTCCGCGCGGGGGCGGGGCGGCGTTGAGAAAGGGCCCGTAGTTCCGACATCTGGCAGTGATGCAAACTAGTTCTAGCGGGCCGTGAGACAGGATGTTTGTGCCACGTATGTTTGCCTTGAACTGGTCAAGAATCCTACATCGTATGCACGCTGCCTGTGACCAGTTAGCCAGGTTGCCCTCCACATATGAACTAGGCAATCTAGGGATGATGCCAGGGCATGCGTTCCCCAGTACAGGCTAATTGCTCATGCGTTGGAGCCAGATAAGCTCCGCTGCGCGCAAACCATCAATAATCAGCTGGGCTCAGTGGAATCCCTAAATCACCGATGCGTCAGCCTTATACGGACAAACTCCATCGACTTGCACTCATCGTACTGCTGCACTGTCTTCACTTGATCGGTCCGATGCAGGACTGGCCATGCGCGCGCGGTGTCACGGTGAACGTTTCATCGGAGATCGTTTTCAGCGTGTTCCCGTCTCCCTTGACGTGTTCTAGCCGTGAGTCTCTGAAGGCATCGTTCTCCCTTTCTGTCTTCTCCGCGTGCCCCTCCTTCTTCTACTTGTCACCATCCTTCTTCCTCCCCCCTCTCCGTCTCCTCGTTGTTCTCGTTGGCGTCATACCACCTGGCCTCTTGGAAGCCCACCGCTTCAATATGACGCTTAACCTGATGGTTATTTCCTCGATCAGCTCCACTTCGCGCAAGCGTTCGATCTTGGCCTGCAGCGCTTGCGCTTTCTGCTGAGTATGAGCAATGTCGCTGATCATGCCATGATTGTTTCGATTATAAGTGGTGCGGGCCAGAGTCTGCATCCTGTCCTCTTAGCTGCGCATGGTGAGAAGGATTGGAGCATAGACGCTGTCTACTTAATCCGCAGCGAGCGTGTCGACCATGCGACCACAGCCTGCGACAAGAGGGCGCAGGGCTTGTTCTTCGCATGGTGCATTCAATATCGGCACCTTGCCCAACATGGAGTTCTTGTACCCTCTGAAGTTTGTAGCGTGACGCGTAGGTCACCTTCACTGTCAAGACCATCCAGCCTGGTGACCCCGATAGCTGCGCTCGGCGGTGGCACTGGACCGCGCATCCTGGCGCTGCGGGGTACGTGGTCGCGCACGCACCCGAATTTTCTGGAAGCCATCTGGGCGGGCACAGGGCCATGCACAAGTCTTGGTGCCCTGGCGTTAAGTCGGGCCTGTCCCTCTACAGGAGGAATTTTCAAAAGTACGTAAGACATAGTAGGGGGACGATTTTTTGACTATGTCTGATCATGTTTTGAATAATTCTAGATTATTTGTTCGTGCAAAATTTGTTTGTATGGGGGACATGCCCGACCTAACCCTGGCGTGGGAAATGTTTCACACCAGGCCATGCCGCTTTCTTTCGGTCCCCGGGGCCTTCAGGGATGGATCTGGCTGGACACGCTGCCGCGGAATGGTTGGGTCTAGGCTCGCGGTCGGGATCTGCCACACATGGTCGCATTTTCGCGCGACATCCGATGTCAGGGATTGGAGGCCGCTGCACTGCTCAGCGACGCACCGTTGACCAATCCCAACGGTGCGGGCTCGTGCAAGGAAGAGGCCAACGAACCATGGCACAGAATGAGCACAAGCATATACAGTCAACCCACATAGTAAGGCTGAGCAACTTTCCCAGGTTACCCTTTCATCATTCCCCCTCAAAGGTGTCGACATCGCCATTCAAGGCCCTTGCATCTTCACCGCGCAGCCTAGTATGCGGGCCGACTGTACCCTTGAACAAATTGCTGGCCGAGTCCCTTCCTTCAGCTTTCTAGCCGATCGGCCGCGTGGGGTCACGCGGCCGACCTGCGTGGTCTGAGGGCTCCGGCACGTAGGTTAGTTTGTCACCCCCTCTGTCGTCCTCCCCTTGCGCTTTCCTTCTCGCGCGCGGGGCCCATGTGCGGGTACTGCGATGGGCCTACGCACACACGAGCTGTCTTTTTGCTTCTGCTGTTCTCTCTTCTTTTTTTTTTGTTCTCTCTCTCTCTCTCTCTTTCTTTCTCTCTCTCTCTCTCTCTTTTTTTTTCTCCCTCTCTCTCTCTCTTTTTCTCCCATGCCTCTCTCTTTGCTGCTCGCCTCTCTTCTGCCTCTCGCTCGGGTCTCCCGCGCCCTGACTCTTCTGGTTCGTGCTCCGACTCTCCATGGGGCCGGGCGCCTTCGGCGAGCGGGCTCCTGCTCCGGACCCCCACGCTCTTCTGGCCGTGCCTCGCCTGTGCGCGTCGCTCCTCCGCGCGGGAGACCGGGTCCTCCTGGCCAGAACGGAACGGGTGTGACCGGTGGGGTGGGGGGGGGGGGGGGAGAAAGGGGGGGGGGAGAAGCGACACCAACACCACTAGGGGCGCCACCTCCAGCGAGGAGGTCCACGATGCCTCCCCGAGCTGGAGGCTAGGGATGTCTCGAGCGAGAGGGGGGACCACACCACCAGGGAGACCTCCCTTTCTCCTCGCATCTCCTCGCCCTGGTGGTGTTGGTGTCGCCTTTCCTTGTCCCGGGGGGGGGGACCGGTCACGCCACGATTCGCGCCGGCGCCGCCTGAGAAAGCTCAGGAGAGGCTCATTCCCAGGCTGGGTCCCCTAGGGGTGGAGGGGGGGGGGCGGGGTCGGTCACGGCATCGTCGCGAATGTCGAAAAGTTGCGCCCCGCGGAGGGGCAAATTCACCCTCCCTTCCTTGTCGTGGGCGAACAGCACATTCGTATCTGCGGCCTCGCGAGACGGAACTCTCGGCCGCGAACTCGCGGGTACGGGGCATTTCAGTTCGCGGATGCCGCGCGCGAAACGTATCCGTGCGACCCCGCATCCGCGGAATCGCATTCCGAAATCCAGACCGCGAGGGCGCGGATACGGATACGTTCGGCGCCCGTGACCCTTGGCAGCGAGAGGAGCGACGAACGAACGACACACACCCATACCCAGGGGGACGGAGAGGGCTACGGGTGCGTGTTGTCGATTGGGTTTCCCCGCTCGCGGGAGCCCCTCCCGGGGTCCGACAACCCGCACCCATACCCATAGACAGTTCCCTGTTCCCTCCGAACCACCCCATGGTACAGTCGGGCCGAGATATCCGATCGAGGTCGGTTCGGGGAGGGTGCCCTAATGGTCTTTGTGCCTGTTGGATGTTCTTGTGCATCCTTGGGAGGGCACGCTCGGATGTTCTGTGTGTTCTGGACGGTACGCCGAGCTCTGCCGCTATAGTGCTACAGAGCGGTGCGAGCCCATGTCCGCGCGTTTTGCCTGGGGGCGGCTGCGGTTCGTTGATGGTGCGGTTATAGCCACCATGGGGGGAAGCGGATTCGACAGAATCTATTGGGACCTTGTGTGCGGGAAAAAAGTTTTGGCCGGTTCGTTTGTCGAGGAGAGCGGCGGTATCCTCGCGGACGAGATGGGCCTGGGTAAGACGGTGCAGTGCGCGGCGTTCCTTGCGAGCCTCCGCTTCTCCCACCAGGCGCTCCGGAGGGCGGGCGCCGCCGCAGTCGAAGCCCCCTCCTCGGAGCTGAGGCGAGCGCGCCCCCCCGACGACGACGATCACGACGACAGCGACGACGACAACCAGGAACGACGACGACGACGACGACGACGACAGAATCGACGAGGAGGAAGACGACGACAACAGCGACGACGACCGCGACGACGACGACGACGATGCCCGCCAGCGGGCGCGCCTTTCCGCCACGCCTCCAGCGTCGTGGAAGCATGCTGGATACGCTTCTTGCTTAACCCTTGGCGATACGTCGACGGCGAAATCCGAACTTGAGCTACCCTGGCATGCCCGTGTTGAAATGCAACACGTGCTGTTTCTGAAGCGTCCGAGTTCAACGCGTTGCGTGTTGGCTCGGCACGTGTTGGCCTACTTTTGGGGGAACGTATCGCGCCGGACCTGCGTTTTCAGTCCACGTGCCGGGATTCGGTGGCAAGTGGTCCGGCATTCGCCAGACACGTGGCGAAATCCGAACCCTACCCCCGCCCGCCCCCCTTTCTGGGAGAATCAGTGGTTGGTGGGGGTGGGGTTTGGATGTCGCCAAGTTTGCAGGCGTGACCTGGGGTAGGGGAAGGAGGGAAGGAGGGGGCCGGTCACGTCAAGATGCCGCCAGCGCCGCCTGGTAAATCCGGTAGGGGTGGCTCATTCCCAGGCGGCGGCGGCGAGAATTGTGCCGTGGCCAGCGGTTCGGGGGGCAGGGCGCATTTCGATTCATCCGTCTCGATTCGCTTCGGTTCGATCGATTCCGATTCGATGTTCGGCTTCTGATTTGGAATCTGGCATTCTTGGTCCCCGCCCTCATCCGCAGCACAGACATCACCGAGGGGGGTACCCGTCGAGCGCTTTCGCTGGCACCCCCATCAATTATTCAGTTCCTGACGGGGGGGGGGGTGCGTAGAGAAATCTCAAGAAGCTCCAATCATCTTTCAGGGGCCCGCAGGGATCTCTTGAGGAATCCGTCCGCCTTCTTCTAGAATCCTCCAACACTCCAACAACCCCAGATATCCTCTTAGGCATCTGGCAGGACTTTTCAGAAGGAGCCTTCGGGAGTCCTGACGGAATCATTATGCAAACCTCAGGAGTTGTCTGGAGTCTTCAGGCATCTTCAGGCATCCTCAGGAACCTTCCAGAAATCTGGCAAGACTCATTGGAATCCGATTGGGGTCTTGTTGGGTCTCTATCCTGATCTTGGTGGCATTCCGCAGTGAGGGTTCCGTGTGCGATACAGAATTTTATATATATATATATATATACGCATACATACATATATATATATATGTATGTATCCGGGACGGGTCGTGAAATAATTTCACCGAAATGGGAGAGAGGTTGATATTCGCAATTCAGGGTTAGTCGCACGTATGCTTCAGGGCACTACAGAGTGATTTTGCGATCTGCTGCATGCAGCAACGACACGTTGGATTCAAGCCAGAGCGGAGTTGAGCCGAGTCAGCGAGTCAGCCGACTGCCGCGTCTCGCGGAGGCAGGCCTGCGCATTGCCAGCACCGGCAGAGGGGAGGGGCAGCAGGCTGGGCAGAGCCCGCGCTCGTGGGGAGGCACGAGAGCAGGGTGGAGGTCCTGGCCGAATTGATCTTCTCCCGCGCCCAGCACGTCAGGCAAACCAGTTTTTTATGCAATATATGTGTATACTTATATATTAAACAAACATTGGTTTTGTGAGTTCAACTGTGAACTGCTCATTTTCATGACTTCGCGGTCTGGGCGATTCCGTGGATACGCGATGCCATGGGTGCGTTCCGTATGGGTCGTCCGCGCAACGCAGCCTGTTTCCATGGAGTCGCGACCGAAGAGTCTGGGCCGCTAAGCTGTGGATCGAGTCCCTCCTGGGTCTCCTCCGCTTTGGCGTCGTGCTCTTGGACACCAGGACTTGTCATTTGTAGACGTGGGCATTTGCTGGCTCCTGTGGGGTGGGCCTCATCAGTATACCCCGCTCCCTTATGGCCTAGAGCACGCCGCCAGAAGGTGTGGCTCTGGGGTATGGACATGTTCTGGCGGCGCACCTCAGGGTCGGCTGCTTGGTCTTGTAAGTCCTGGCGCCTGCTTCGAAGTCCGGGGCGGACATCACATTTGATCTGCAGGGTATCGGCCCTCCGTGCTCATCGTTTGCTGGGCTCACCATCCACGCCTGGCTTCGACTGATAGGTCTGACCTTTCACGCGAGGGGTCCCACGGTGCCAAAAAATTGTTCAAAGTAACAAGGAGCAGGCAGGAGCAACACATGCAAAAATAAAGAGTCAAACAATGTGAGGGGTTCCACGGACGAGGTGGGTGAGGCGGAATATTTCATACGAGGATGGATGTGGCAATCGATCATTAGTTGCTCCAGCATCGATGTAGCATGCCTACGTTACACCGCTTCCGACCGCATCAAGTGTATATTTTGACCATCGGGCGGTTTAAGTGTCCTGGCTTGCCCAAGGCCACATTTCCGTGCGGGGAAGAAGTGGGGAGTTGATCGGAGCGGAGGCGTCGCGCTTCCTCATAGTCACGCCGGTCAGTTTGCTGGAGCAGTGGCGCCGCGAGCTGAAAGACTGGACGGCAGGCAACGGAATCGCAGTGCATTTACTCCATGGAAGCCCGCAGGAGCGGCAAGCTGCGTTAAGGCCGCTTGCCTCACCATCGCTCTTTATTATTGCTTTCACTCTCTCTCTCTCTCTGTCCAACTCTCTCTCTCTCTCTCCCTCTCTCTCTTTATTGATATCTTCCCTTCCCTCGTCTTTCCATCCTCCACCCTTTTCATCTCCATCTGTCAACTTTTCTTCTGTTATTCAGTCCCCTTGGCGCGATCGAGGTCAGTCTCTGGACCCGAACGTTCATCACATCCCCGCTTTTCAGATTTGCTTGAGCGACTCTTGGCTACCTTGAGTGAGCATGGAATGCATGCGCATCTGGCTCCTCCTTTGCAAAGTTACCTGGTTCTTGTGCTGTGTCGTAGGTTCGGGCGTGCAGTAATTGGTGTGCGATGAGTGGCTGGGTGGGTGTGAGGAAGGGCGCATCTGTTGTGTGCCACAGAGGGGCCGCCTGGTCCCAGCAGGGGCACACGATGTCCAAAGATCTCCCCCCTCCGATTCCTCGTCCCCCCCCCTATCAGATAACGCCCAACACCTCAATGCGCATGCTGATGTATCGTTCTGTCGGGAATGGGAGCGTAGCGACCCCAGCGGGCACACCGACGTCGGTGTCGCGTCGTGGCCCGAATGGTGCATGTGAAGGCGCTGCCAGGCCGCGCGAGGTGCAGCGAGAGGGAGCAACTCCCCCAGCTGGAGGCAACTGGGGCCACCAGTCCGATGCCTTCCCCGGCCCGCCAGTGCGGGAGGGGGCCGTGGTTGCTTCGCGGACACAGAGAGTCTATATGGTTACAACGGTGTGTGTGTGTACACATATGCATACATATCCATGCCTATATATATATACACGCATATATGTGTGTACGTATGTACATGCATACACAACAGCGAATATACACGTTTACATATCGAGTGCTAGAGCCACACGCACATCTGTATAGAACTACTCCGACGGTAGCACCCCACATTAAACTATGTTTCATTTGCCGGGGGATTCCTCATGCCCCCTCCCTTCTCCCACCTACTCCTGCCTCCTCTTCCCGGCTCGACCCCTGCCTCCTCCTCCTCTTGCCTCCTTCACCTCCTCCTCCTCCTTTCCCCTCTCCCTCTCCCTCCTCCTCCTCCTCATCCTCATCCTCCTCCTCCTCCTCCTCCTCCTCCTCTTCCTCCCCTCTCCCTCCTCCTCCTCCTCTCCCTCTCCCTCCTCCGCCTCCTCCCCGTCTCCATCTTCCTCCTCCTCCTCCTCCTTCTGCCCCTCCTCCTCCGCCTCCTCCTCCTCTTCCTCCCGCCTCCTCCTTAGGCCTCCTGCCTCCTCCTGGGGCCTCCTGGGGCCTCTTGGGGCCTCCTGGAGACTTCTGTGCCTCCCGGGACCTCCTGGGGCCTCCTCGGACATTCCTCCTCCTCCTCTTCCTCGACAACTACGTGGATAGAAAAGCATGCATAACACTGCTGATGTTGCCGTCATGCCTGCTCTCTCCCGCTCCCCGTGCAGAGCGAGACGTCATTTTTATACATCCAGCTGCAAACGTTCAGGCCCGCACTCGCGATTTGAGCACCTGCTGCTATGGCCATGGTGCGGCCCCAGTTTACAATATTTCTTGGGGAACGTTGCACTGTGATGGCGCTGAAAACAGCTGCGGAGGAAGCATACAAAAGCACAGATATAGCATACCGAAGTCATGCAACGTGACTCTGGGCGGGAGCCGGGGCAAGGGGGCAGGGCAGGGGAGGAGAAAGCAAGCAGACACAAGGGGAAGAAGCGAAAACGGCACGGGCAAACATTGAGTGAACGCTCCCCTGGTGCCCCGGGCGTTGCCTTTACAGATCTCTGTAACATGCGGACGCGCGCCAGACCCTAGCACTCAATCGTTTCACTGCAAGACCTCCCTCCGCAGACGTGTCACGCAAATGTACCCGCGCCACCCACAAGCAATAGGGGCAATCACGTAATGTACACATGCTTCAAGTCAGAGGTCCACGTGTCAGCGAGGCACTGGTTCCGCTAAGCATTCCTCATTTGAGTCATCCGCCTGCGGTGCGCCAAGATATCTCTGTAAACACGCTGGGTGTTCATCGTCTGCGTACCCACCCAATCAGCGCAGTAATGCCGAAGCTGATGAGGTGGTGGGATATATCAGACTGAGGCGTGAGAGATGGGAGTGGAGCGTGTGGGAAGGGTCCAGACGAACCAGGTTGCTGGAGACATCATCTTTTAATGCATTGGAGGCGCCAGCCGCGCCAAACCAGCCATACACCCACCACCAATTGAGCATCTTGCACGCTACATAAGATGGTAGGATACCGACGAGCCGGTCTCTGAGGATGGCGGCGTTGGTCTCGATGCCATTCCGGGTGGCAACCGCTAGCATGAGAAACTGC